AGAGCAATATACAAATATAGTAAATAAATAAAATAAATAGATGCAGGCAAAACGTCAGGAGAGAATGCTTCAAGAACATGGCCATATAGCCTGAAAAACCTACAACAACCCAGATAAATCAATCAATCAAATAGCTTCATAAAGTTCCGGCTGTGGAACTCCCTCCCTGCTGAAGTTAGACAGGTGCCCTCCCTCATGGCCTTTCGTAAGGGCCTGAAAACATGGCTTTTCGAGATGGCCTTCAACTGAGTGCTATGTTATTGGAATTGACGACTGGAATGGACTACGACTATGAGATTGATTATGACCACATGTTAAGACGAAGCGGATTTTTAGTATAAGTAGATGTTATGTAGCAGTAGAATGTTGTCGTTCTGTCTTGACCTATTGTAAATTGTCTTTTCTATGTTTTTGTACACCGCCGCGAGTCGCCCTAGGGCTGAGAGCGGCGGTTAATAAGTGCAAGTAATAAATAAATAAATAAATAAATAAATAAACACATGCCTCTGTGTATAAAAGATGGGCAGGCTTTCCTTTCAAAGTATTAGGCCGCTCAGGCTTGCTGTTAGAGAAAATGGGGACAAGGGAAACGTAGGAGTTTCTGAAGTGTACACAGAGTAAACCAGACTTTTCCAAACTGTGTATTGTGACACATTAGTGTGCCAGCAACATTGTGTAGGTGTGTGAACATAAAACAAATACCCCTCTCCCTGCTTTTCCCCCCTGTGAGTATACATAGATTGTCTCATATATATTAGCTGAAAATGAGCAGATATTTGTAACTGGTTGCAAACCAAATGTCCCTGATACCACGCCCGGCATTCCTAAAGTGTTTGAATGAATAAATACATTTTAGAAGACCATAGTATGTGTGGAAAGTGACTGAGCTCTCCACTTTGAAGTACAGTAAAACCTTAAGAATTTTCTGTGACTATGTTCGTTAAGTCAAAACATCCTTATCTCAGAGTGAATGTTCTGGCCTCCCCAAAACCCAATTTTTGTTGAGTTTTAGATAAGAAAATGTACTTTATAAATAACAAATAATGTCTAAAATGTTCAGAGATAGGCAGTGCCTGGTTCCAGCCAGCCACTCAAGGCAAAACAGCATCATTTTCTTCATATAGTAATTCCAGCCTCCCTCTCTCATCTTGAAACAACACATACAGTTACTCCCTGTTTAGGCTGAGGCTCTGCTACACCAGGGTGGACTACAATACCTGGAGTGGAGTATCCGGATGGGACTCCTCTCAGAACGTTCAGGTGAAGCAATCACATGGAGTTGGAGTTTTTGCCTGGCAGGAAGAAGAGTCAGAGCTGCTCCTGCTAGTATTCCAGTCCAGGTTTTGTTTCTCTCTGCCTTGCTGTTAGAACTAGTTTAAATGGCAAAGACGTCTCTTTTGCACAGTTCTTAAGTAACAACAGCATTCAGATCTCAAAACGTCACTCTAGGCCAAGTGAGGGTTTGTAAGTTAAAACATACTTCTGTTGGGACATTCTTATGTAGAAGTTCTACTGTACTCATGTTGCAGATGAGGAAGGGTGTATTCATTCTCTCCACCCTGTTTGTTTCTCCTCTTTGAACTATCCTGCACTAAAGCAGGTTTTCTTTTTAATAAAAGGTTATTTACTATGATCCACTGGGAACTAATCTGTGGCTGGGAATGCACTTCTTGAAAGAGCCAGGCTGGTTCAATGATTTCATAATTGGACCAGAACTGTTAAAGACTAAGGTTCGAACCCCTGCTCAGCCATGGAAACAACCAAGGGTCCTTCCAGACAGGCCCTGTATCCCAGGATCTGATCTCAGGTTTTCGGTTTATCCCAGATTATCTGGCAGTGTGGACTCATATAATCCTATTTAAAGCAGAAAACCTGGGATCAGATCCTGGGATATAGGGGCTGTCTGGAAGGTTCCCAAGTCACATTCTTCAGTCTAGGAGAAAGGTCTGAATGTTTATAAGGAAGAAAAGTGATTTTTTCCCCATATAAACCACTTATTGGAAGATAATTCTCAATTTGACGGGATAAAATCCAAAACATATATTTGGATATATCAGTCCCTATGCTATCTTTCTCTTTTAGACTATTTTTGAAGATGATAGAAGACAGTTTATTCATACTTCTCAATTACAATTAATTATTCAAGAAGACTTCTTCCTTAAATTGAAATCCATTTTATCTTTTTGAAGCCAGTATTTGGATTTAAGCATAGCTTTGCCTGCAGGTCCCATTAATAAAAACGAACATGCCTTTAGGTATATCCTCCAATTGTGGTTTGGCAGAGGCAATCCTGATTAATCTTCTGTCAACCCATTTTGAAACTGCTTTAATCCCCCCCCCCCCCCCAAGTCTCTCCTCTTTATCCTTGGCTTACTTCATTTGTTACAGAGTTCAAAACAGGAAAGGCATTGACAAGGCAACAACTTGCTCATGACAAGGCAGCAACTTGTGATTATTTACCATGAATTCCTCTTCTGCCCATTGTAATGCTCTGGAATTTAGCTGACAGTCCAGTTTCCTTCTCTATATGGAATGGAAGCAGAGCGCCACTGGTCTTATTTGTGTCAAGTACCAAAAGCTCTGAAAAATAGGAAGCTGGCTTATACTGAATTAGATTATTGGGCCCATTTTGATTCATGCTTCAACTCTGCCTGACAACAGCTTTTGGAGGCTTCAGGCACAATTCCTTCCTAACCCTGAATAGAAATCTTCGGTGCTCTCCAATCCAAGAAGTAACCAAGTCCAGTGGTGCTTAGCACTGCAAGTGTAATCAGGGTGGTATGATGGTCTTGGTCCACTCCGTTTGTTCTGCCACTTGCTTGTGCCACTACTGCTGCATTGCATTGACAAGTGCAGAAAGTCAGTAGGTGTCACATGAAGTATAAGTGGTGGTATGTAGTTATAATAATTGCCCTAAGTTCCTTAAACTTACCTGTGGAAAGCATTGCATTTCCCCCCTTCAAACAAACACAAACATTGTACTTTGTGAGGATTTACTGTAAAACATGAAACTCTGGATAATAGCAAAAATGAAATGGATCCCTTGGCATACCATTACTTGCCATAGAATTGTGCTGAAGGCCCTAAAATACCTAGAGTAAACATATTTTACAGATGTGGGTGAGTGAAACTGTGGGTCCTTGTCTCACAAATATGGGAATCATACAGGACAGATTCTTTTAAAGCTCAATAATGTGTTATTGGGGAATGGGGTTGCTTTTTTCTATCACAATCAAGATATTGGGGTGATGGATCATGATAACATGAGGAAATTCACATTGGAGTAAAGAAGCCATGAATGCCGATTTCGTTGCAACTGAGGACAGGTGGCTCTTCAAGAGCTTATCTGTGATACAAACTACAGAATGACTCTGTTGAGTCATGGAAATGATGAAAAGGGATAGTTGCTTACTTGTAACTGTGGTTCTTTTAAGTGGTCATCTGTGAATTTACACAGGTGGCTTTGCTTTACTGTTTATGCAAGTCCCAATGAACACAAAGATTAAGTAGAAATAGATTGGTAAAATTTTCTATTTGACATCTATTGTAAACATGTTTTTCACAATTTGCTTTCTGCATAGTGTCTTTTTTAAAATTTCTAAATATGCACATCTGGTACCATTATGCCACCAGCACTAAAAGAAGACCTAGTGCAGTCTTGCCAGTTAATTTCTAGGTACTACTGGACAAAGTACTATCAGGTATCAAGAGAAATTCCTAGGAATGAAGAAAAAGGAGCTTGAGGAGAGTGTGATTTGGTGCTGGTATCCCTCACCATATAAAAAGTTAATTGAAAAATCTGATCTACTTTTGTGAAGTACTGAAAGGTCCAAGACAAAGTGTTCATTTGAGGCTCCTGCCCTCATGTCAGTGTGGTGCAGTTGTCCAGGCAGGTGGAATAAGATGGAGGAAATCCAGGTTCCTAGTCCGCACTCACCTGTAAAGCCTACTAGATGACTTTGGCCAGTCATTATATTTCAGCCCAACTTTTTTCTTTGTTGGGAGGATAAACAAAGGATAAGAGTATCATGCAAGTTGTTTGGGTTCCTTGAAAGAATAAACAAGAGGGATACATATAACAATAAAGATATTTGATTACGGTTTGGGCCAGTAGATGGGCATATTTACCTGGGGCTATAGCCATCTTGTGTATGCAGCCACGACAAAAAAGGATATTTCCATCAATAGTGTTTTGTGACACAAACACATGCCCTTTATATTTATGGAGCTCAAATATATGGGATTCTGGAAGCAGAAACCTGCCAGCAACGCCAGTGTTTCCAAGTGCTGGTCTCAGTGGTGGTTACAATGTCTCCCTATGTCAGTGATTAATTCTGTCTCAACATTTCTTCCCCATTCTTTTTTTGAAAAAATAGTGGTACTCCTCAATTAGTAGGTGCCAGATGTTTCCTGTATCTAAGTCATCCTTCTCAAATAAGGAGGGGCATATTTGGGCAATTCCACCATGACAAAGGGGTAAGTAGTGGAGGAATGCAATTTCATACTTCCAATAAAGGATTGTAAAGGTCCACCCCTTCAAACAGAAAAGAATGAAGAGTCCAAAACCTCTATCCCAGCCACATCTTCCCCACATCTTCTATTTTCCTTTACATTTTTAAACATTATACCTTTTTATGTAGGGAAGGAACATGTAAGATTACCAATACGGTCCTATGTATGTCTTACTCAGAAATATTGGTTGTGCTCAATTAAGTGTATAGAGCAATGAAGAATTCTCTTTCCCATCAGTAAGGCATTCAGAAATTACTGCGGTTATCTCAAAATTCACTTTAGGAGTCCATCATATCTTGCTATCAACTTGGATCCTCCATAGATAACTTTTGACACTAAGCAATTGGAAAGCCATGTGATAGATTTATCTTAGGATCACCATAAGTCTAAAATGGCTTAACGGCAGACAGCAACAATAGGGAAGTCTCAATTTCTTTTTTTTTTTTGGAATGACAATTAATGTTCAACAAAAAGACCCAAGAAATATATTATGCACACATTTTGTTATTGATAGCAGCAATTGCAACATTCTACTGTGTGCCATGCAGTACACAGGCATCATAGGAGGAGGTGTTAATAAATTAAGTCTAACGTGGAAAAAGACCAACCTGGAACTTCCAATTTAAGCATCAATTGCTACATTGATAGAAGAAAAATAAACTAACAATTTCTGCCATCTAGCCGTATTGAAAACAGCATCATTCAGCAAGAGATAGAAAGGATGGATGTGAAATTCATCTGAAAACTTGTTTAAATGGCAAGATCAACATCACACACAAAAGTACAGCACTGGAAAGGTGTTTTACCTGAGGCAGATAAGTTGGGTTATACTATCTTCTTAATACAGGAAATTGCTATCTCTGCTATTTGTTTTAGCTGAGTAATTACTGTACCTTTACTCCAAAGTTTCCTACATCATACTCTACAGCCATATGCTATACTAGTGAGTAGTTTCTGGAATGGAATGAACAATTTGAAATGTGATTGTCAGACTGAATCCAACTTAGAAGCTAATATACAAAGAAATTATGCCTTACCAGTTCATACATGCAAGACGCATTATGGAAAATTAGTCTCACCATTAGAAGCAGCAAGCAAATCAATGAAATTTCAGAGGTGGGCTGATTTTAGGAGTTTATGATTTAGTCTATTGTCTCCAATTCTGTAAAGATAGTTTTTCACATGAGAGGAAATTCTTGCCAGTAGAATGAAGCAACCAAACATATCTAGGTCTCAAGCCTAGCATCATGTGATCATCTGCTGTAGTTACTACTTAATTTGGTCCAATCTTGTTTATTATGAACAAATGCCCAAGAAAAGAAGGTACGATGAACACCAAATTCCACATTTTTCCTGAGCAAAATGCTGTAATGTTAAGTTCATTACATCTTTCTGAGGCAATGGGTTATACAGATTCTTCTTTCTGGGAATTGTAGGCCAAAACACCTGGGAACCCACAGGTTGAGAACCACTGCCATAGGTATCTATCTAAAACCTATGGCAATAATGCTCAATCTGTAGGTCCCCAAGTGTTTTAGCCAACATCTCCCAGGAATCCCAGCCAGTTTACCAGCTGTTAGGATTTCTGGAAGTTGAAGGCCAAAACATCTGGGGACCCACAGGTTGAGAACCACTGCCCTATGGCCTTTTAAGTGGTCTTATAGGCTTAAGGCCTAATAGGGAATTTTCTCATGAAGAATCCATTCCTTTTGCAAAATAAGTTTGAGAATACTGGATGTAAAATATAAGATTGAATGTCAAAATGCATTCACTAGTCTTTTCCTTAAAGTGACATACTGAAATGAATATGGAGCCCAGAACAAAGGAAGTTTACAAGAAGAATTCAGCTCATTTTCTGTATGCTTTGTTGAATTCCCCACACCATGAGGGGAAAAGAACAGGACGTTTCTAGTGTATTCTCGGCCAGACTAAAGGTGCTGCACACAATGTATTAAAATCAAGTTTAAAAACCAAGATAAAATGAATTCTGTGTGCTCTATAACATACAGAAAGTAGGTAATTTGCACATATTCGACTGGGCAAGGAAACCTACATAGGTGACTGAAAAATGCTAGAAAGATTTAGATCCATTTTTGGATTTTGAGAGTTTCATTAGCTCAAATGCAAGACAACAGCTGCAATCTCAAGAATTAGAAATGTGATTAAAAAACTAAAACAGAGTCAGATGTGGAATTCAAGTCTAGTACAAAATTGTAAGCTTGCTTCTGTAATCCTAAAACACATTTCCTCCCTGTTTTCTATAGTAGCTCATGCACTTGGGCTCAGTGGTACGAAACATGTTCAATTTATACTTTGAAATTCTGGGAATGCTGGCAATTATACTCTGCATCTAGATAAAATTTGCATTTTAATGAAGGTCTATGCTAGTTTCTTTTCTTCTACCTTTCTTCTACCTAAAATGACAACCCTACTGTTCTTGAATGTAATCCAGAGAGGGTTGGGATCAATATCCAGAAGGTTTTTTTCTCACTTCAACAAATGACATTGCTCACTTACTGCATTTTTCATCACACATCCTCCAATAAGCCTTTGTGAGACTGAGTAGATGTGGACTGACATGTCTACAGTTTAGAACAGAGGCTTTATAGCAGATACATGTTGAATCCAGGCAGCATTTTTGTGGCCACAGTGTGGTTCTGGTCAGGCAACAGAGGTAGTTACATAATAAAGGAAACTCAAGACAAAGCTTCAAGTCCTTAGCATGATAATGTCTCCTAGCATAATATCCATACAGATACCGAACATGAACATGACCTAGGAAAGAGGTAAGAGGCAATAATGCAGAGAAAGAGGCACAGAGAAAGTTAACAGTGCATCTTGCAACAGCTTCTCTTTCAGGAGTTCAAGGTGAGGATTTGAATACAAGCCCTTCACAATCTTAGCTGCAGCAAGCTCTCCATCCTATAATTTAGGATCATCACCAGAAGCCCTGGTTACACTACAGTGTAAAATGAGGATAAGGTCAGTTCTTGGAGCAGTGTGAAAAGGAAAGGACAGCGCCAGTACAAAGTTATACAAAGTTATACAATGAATGAGGCAGAATGAAAAATCCCCAAGCTGCTCAAAGCACCACATATACTAAATTCCTCTGAAGAACTCAGATTTTTCGGCATTCTTGGCAGCAGAGTCTAAAGTGGAGGGACATTTCCCTCCCAATGCAGAACTATAAAACAAGTAAATCGCTGGCCCTATTTTTTTCCAAGTCCAGGGGTTATACAGATTTCTCTCAGGTAAGTCTGGACTTCCTTTCTACCATTGTGGACTGGAACTTTCCCATCTTGTTCTTCAGTCAGATGCTTGATAGCTGCTGGGAGAATGGGTTCGGGTTGAAAAAAGGGGGAGTGATCACTAAGAGGAACCTGAGAATAAGCTGGAGGATGCAAGCATATTAAGGAAGTGCCTTGTTTTGCATGAGCAAGGAGGGCTTGCCCCTTAATATAGTAATGGCAGAGGGTATGGCATCTTAATCAAATGCCAATAAGTTCTGCTTTGTAAGGTTGGATACTCAAAGACTAACCTAATCTGTGTGCATGATCTTATCCCCTTCACACTGACAATCAAGGTTACCTAAGTTGCAAAAGGATGAACCTTACCTATTTTTCCATGTACGCTTAGTCGTATCAGAGTAAAGAACTGGTAGCTATTCTTGATGATCTGGTCTCATTTTAAAAGACAGCATGGCAGTAGTGTGATATAAACAACAGCACTTGTAGTAGCTTATAGTATCAGGCACAGGCTACCTATTTCTAAAGGTAATATACAGTACAGTGGTATTGGCTGCCTCTGCTTAACTGCGCTCTACTCACATATAATCTACTCATGAATATTGGGCACAAATGTATAAGAAAGGAAGAAATGGTATGTGCAACAGAATTCCTCCTAAGAGGCAGTGTATGAAGACAACTAATTTGGCAGGATTAGTGCCAAGGATGCAGATGGATTTTAATGGGGACATCAAGAAGGACCATTTATCTGAGCAGACAGTGCTTCTACTAACTGTTTGCACTCCAGTGATAACTTTTCTGGGACACGTGTTGTCTGCCAAAAAATTCTCACAAGTGCTTTCTTACAGCTACACTGCTTCTTTTACAACTAACTCTTGAATAGCCAGAGCTCAATCACAGGACTAACATTTCACTTGGCAAAATAGGACAAGGACAACAACTGGGGTTGGGTAGAATTTAAATCAAAAGATGAATGTGGGCTCAAGCGGGTGCTTCCAGACAAGGCTTTTACTTATTGTAGCATCTTGTTTGTAGAATTGTGTTTAGGCTTTAGTGGTTTTCAGACACTACCTTTCATGATTAATTCTACCATTTGTTTTCATTGCTGCTTCTGTCTTTATTCCTACCAAAGAAAGTTTATAAAGAAATGCATGACAGAGCAGCTGTGCCAAGTTTGGGAGCACTAGAAGCTATCTATGTAGAACAGCTTTGCATTTCAACATATTATCTTCTCCCTACATTTGAAATACATCTTTTGTAAGAGGTCCAGATGGGAAAAAGAACAAAGACCCTATCAGGAATCTTTAAATGACAGATCTGAACTTGTGGTATTACAGAAATCAGTAATAGAGCAAAGAAATGTGATTTGAATAGGTCTTCTCTACCTCATAATGTTATATTCTGTCCAAGCACAGACACCCAGCTGCTGCCCATATAAGGAAATTATCAAATGTGTATTGCTTATTTGTCTCAATTTCATTGGGTGATACAGTCTTTGAGACTAGGGTCTTTCAACCAAGCAGCTACCTGAGTTAGTCTGTTGTCTTGATTGTTTCTTGCAATTGTTTATGTGGTTGTTTTCCCCAACCCAATCTAAAACCTGCCTCAGAAATTGGTTTGACTTATGTTTTGTTCATCTTCCATGAAGCTCCCTCTTTTGGATTGTGATGTTGGTTTAATAATGGTACAAATGAAATTAGAGTTAACTTTCCATTTTCATGGATTCTGCATCCATGGCTTGAACATATTCAACTACACAATCCAAAAAGCAAACCTTGATTTTTCCATTTTATATAAGGGGTGCCACTGTACGACACCACGGATTTGGTTATCCATGGGGAGCGGGGTGGGTCTGGAGCCAAACTACAGAAGATAGCAAAGGCCTATTGCATACTGTAGATTTCACAAGAAAGGCAATCGTACACATTTATGTGCACTAGCAAGACACATATGCTGACATCATAAGCCTGAAGAAAATCTGGTAATAGTGGAGAGAAATGTGAACCTTTTACAAATATTTGCCAGAAAAGCTCATAAATATAGTGCTGATTCCCAAGTCAAGTTGGGGGGGGGAATCTGTCTATCACTAGTCTAAACTCTCACTATGTTTTGGGACCTTTTGAGAGAAAGGCAAGGCTGAGATTCAGAAAAATGATTAAGGTTTTCCTTTCTGGGTTCAGAATGTGAAACAATGGGCTTCAACAGAAAGACAAGACATTTTGTTGCAGCACTGTTCTTTTAAACAAAAGGAAACAAAACACCTGTCACAAGTGTGTGTGTGTGTTAGAAGAAGAGATGGGCATTTAGACCAATTAGCTCCAATGCCAATACCAACAACGTCCTAACAATGAAAAATTATTTTCTTTTGTTTCAGCAGAAAGTCTGGTAATTGGTAGAGACAGAAGTACTGTAATGGAAACTCTTCTGCTCAAGTCTTTTACTCCATAGAGCCTATCATACTGGGCTGGCCCGCAAACTCTCTCTCTCTCTGCCCCTCCCTTAGAGCTAGTAAATGTCCAGCTTCCTGCATAAAAGATATTGCATGTTGTAGGGTGCAGAAATATTTCCAGGGCTTTCCCTGTCTAATCCCAGAGCTGGCATATGTTGGTGAACATTACTGTCCCCTGTGAGGTTGGCAGTGTGCTGGGCTTTCCCAGCTCCACTCCTGGAGCTATAGGCAGGGCTAGCAAGCGTCAGAGTCACTGAGGAGCAGAGCCTGCCTTGTAGGGCTGGCAGTCTTGGGGGATCTCACTGCCCCCACTCCCAGAGCTAGCAGGCATTAGAAACATAATCAAAGTCTTTGAAGGAATCCTGCTCCTTTTGGGTGAGGGGCCGTGATTCACGGGGAGGTGTCAGCAAGGCTGCTTCAGCGGTGAACTCTTCATCAAAATTGCTGATGTCTTCACGGCCTTTAATAACTGGCACAAATGGCGGCTTGATTTTACGGGCCAACAGAGCTTCCCACTCGATGCTCTACGAAGATGAAAAAAACACAATAAGCACTGCATCTGAGGAAGTAGGCTTAGGCCTTCTACACTGCCATATAAAATGTAGATTGTCTGCTTTGAACTGAATTATATGGCCCTAAACTATATTTCCCAGAATGTATCAGCATCAGAAAGCACCAATCAGGGTAGTGGAAAAAGAGAGATTTGTTCTTCCCCAACAGCAGTCGGCAAGAGTTCCAATGAATGGTTGAATCTGTAAAGAGGACTGATAGATACTTCTAGTAAGTAAATCTCTGTGCTGGGCTGGAAAGAAATCCCTCAATGGATGGCCCCCATACTAAAGGGGAAGCATATTAATTAGTTCAGAGGCTGAATGGCCATCTGACAGTAGAGGATTGATGGTGCCCTTTTGCCTGGAAGAAGCAGGTTGGACTAGATGGCTCTTGGGGGTCCTTACCAACTCTAGCATTCTATGAAAATGTAGAATTTGTTAATATTGGTTTCTATTGGTTCATATGAGAGAAATTCAATGAGATAGCTGTTATGGCTTAAGTTTTTATCAATTTTTTAAAATCCCTAAAATCAGTAGATATATGAATATTTCCGAAAATCTGGGAGAATGATCCCCTGTTATCTCCTGTCATTGTATAGAAAATTCAAGGAGATAGCTCTTGTCGTTTTTTTAAAATGTTGTTTATAAAAATTCCCTAAAAATCAGTGGATAAGTGAAACATTCTGAAATTTGGTGGGTTAACAGTGATAAATGCGTATTACCATTGTAAAAGGTTTCACCCCAATAGCTTTAAAAATGAGGGAGAAAGGAGTCCCTGAAATTTCCCCAATCATAGTAAATTATGTGCAATTACTGTAAAGAAATAAGTCTTGTTATAGTAACATTTTTTCACTAACTATATTTTAGAAACACTTGAGAAACAAAATGCCAGCACCCCCCAGTTTAGTAATTATTTTTGAACCATTTTTAATGGGTTGTACATTCCTAATAGACATAAAAGAAACTGAAACGATGCATTGGTCACTGTAGCAAGTGCAGAAAAACAGGCTTGCAGGCTCAGAGCAAGGGTTTCTTTAAGAAGCCACATAATCTGCAGCACTCAATACACAACATCACGGGATGGTGTTCAAAGAATCATAGAATTGTAAGAGACTGAATGAGCCATCTAGTCCAACCCCCTGCCATGTAGAAAAAGCATAATCAAAGTGTCCCCAGCAGATGGCCATAGAGCCTCTGTTTAAAAGCCTCCAAGGAAGAAGCTTTCACTACACTCCGAGACAGGGCACAGAGAGCCAGGATAAGCACTTCCTTGTCATGTCAGCAATAGGTTTTAGGTAGGCAACAAAACCGGTGACTAATAATAATGAGATGTTATGCAGTAGGATTTAGTTATTCACATCATGAGAGAACACCTTGCAGTGTTATGCCTAATAAAGGTGTCACAAGTCAATTTCTTTTTTGTGCTGAAACACAGTTAAGACCACAACCTCTTTATTAATTGTGATCTTCAAATAAATTCTTTGTAGTTGTGTTAGGAAGGTATAGTAGTACTGGCCCAATGGAAAGCAGCCTCAAAATAGCAACTATCTATTTACAAAGAAACTAGATAGACTTCCCTCTCTCTGTTAGCATATCCTAAAGAAAGACTATAGGAAAAGAGAAACTCATACTGACCCTGAAGAATGGCTGCTTCTTTACATCTTCCGCATCACGCTCACTGGAGCCCAGCCGCCGTTCTGGGTTCCGCCGCAACAGCTGAATGACAAACAATGAGTAGTGCTGGGCTATCCCATGGGACAGATTAACCCACACTTAACTAATTGCCACCCACTACCTCCTCTTTCCAGGGATGGGTGGACAAAGGGGAGTTGCATCTTCTGTGGGCCCACTGATACCACCCAGGCCTGAAGCAAGGCAAATGGCTGACCACAGAATGTTATGTCATTGTGTGGAAGGTCCCATTTGTTAGAGCATGCAAGAAATCAGCTAGTGTGTGTGTTTGTGTGTGTCAACTGTAAAATACGAGGCATGAAGCTGATTGGCCAGGCTTCGTGCGGGGAGCTGGCTGAACCTGTGACTTTTGGTTACTGTTACATTTTTCAGGCTTGAGCTACGCAGGTGTTAGAAGAGAAGCAGAATGAAGCAGAGAGAGACAGAGTTTGGAGTGTGTTGTTGCTTCATGGGCTGCTGGAGGAGTTTATCCATATGGACAAAGAAATATCATTTTAAACCTCTCATAAAAGGACATTATGTGAGTTGATGCAACTGACCACATTGTACATATGTTGTTCTGAACAATGTTGTTCTGTACATATGTTGTTCATTTTTGTGGCATGTTTTTTTTCCCTCTGGCAAGGCAGTATGTGGACTGATCAAACATGAACTACATGTGGTTTATTTTTACATTATGCCACACCATTCTCCCTCCCTCCCTCCCTCCCTACCTGTTCTCCTCAGCCTAGACCAGCTTCATGGGAATCTTATACTCTTTGGCTCTGGCATGTCTTTACTCAGCCAAGAAGCACTTAAACTTACCCGTCTCATGATACCAATGGCCTCCGTGGAAAGGAAGCGAGGATAGCGCACCTCATCATTGACAATGCTGTCAAATACTTCCTCTTCATCATCTCCAGGGAAAGGGGACTGCAAACCAAGAGGCACAATCAGTAGAGAGGTGTGTATTTTTTTAAAGTCAGTTTTCTTAGTAATTCTTAGACTCTCACTCCACCTAAAATAGCATAGCCTCCAGTAGGCTTACTCACTTCAACACATACCTCTTTCTCACTTAGGATCTTAATGGGGAACCAAAACCCTGTTTAATTTTCCTCTGTCAATCAGTGTAGCATGGTGGTTAAGTGTTAGATTTAGACTCTTGAGACCAGGGTTAAAATCTGTGCTCTGCCATGAAACCCCACTGGATGACCTTGGACAAGTCACACACTCTCAGCCTCAGAGGTAGGCATCGGCAACATCCCTCTAAATAAATCATACTAAGAAAACCCTGTGATAGTTTCACCTTAGGGTTGCCACAAATGAGAAAGCATGTGAAAGCAAACAACAAGATGTCTAAATTTTGCAGTTGCATACAATCAAATCTGTTTCACTACCAAAACACTGACTCACTGACAGGATGGTTTCCATAGTCATATAAGTGAGACTCACCTCCCCCACAAGCATCTCATAGATAAGGACACCCAAGCCCCACCAGTCAACAGCTCTTGTGTATGATGTATCTGTCAGCACCTCAGGAGCCAGAAACTCTGGTGTGCCACAGAATGTGCTTGTGCGGTCAGCATAGCCCATCCCTACCAAAGCAGAAGAAAGTTGTTATGAAAATATGATCTCACTGACAATCCTGTGCAAAATACATGGAAGAGTAAGCATCTAAAACATAGGAGTGGGGGAAAGATGGTAAAGGAATCAAAGTGCACTATTTCTCATGATAATTTTGAAATTTAATACAGCTGTACTGTGTTGAGATTTCATAGAATTATGAGTCAAACACAAGATCTTGGCAAAATAGATACTTTTTCTGCTTCTCTTCCCTAATACCTAAACTGTTCTTGGGATGACTGCATATCAGTTTATTGCTAACTAGGGCAGTATGCTCATCTGGTATCACTTCTGAAAGCTGACTTCATAATGTTTGAATTTTGATTTACAGAATCCTATGTCTGGTGGGGAGGCATCCATTCCAGCCCAAACAATCACCTTCCTTGCAGAGGCCAAAGTCTGCGATCTTCACATATCCCTCTGTATCCAGCAGTAAATTATCCAGCTTTAGGTCCCTGCAGGAGAAGAGAAATGTATTCAGAAAACATGACTACTGCCCCAAAAATGGGTTATAGGGTTACTGAAAATGCACTCAAATATGGAAAGAGGCCTGAGCTATTTTGGTGGCAGCAAAATTTGCAAAAAATAACAATATTATTACCAAAAACAGTTCTGCATGCAAGAGAACATGGCTCACATTTCAAAGAAACTACTATTAAAAAGCTAAAGGAACTAGGGTAGTGCACAAAGCTGACATAAAAACATGTTAAAAGTGCTAAAGAAGATGGAAGAATACAGGAAGAATGGCCTATGTGGTGTTGCTTACCTGTATACAATTTTGTGGTCATGAAGAAATTGCAACCCGAGGACAACACAAGCAGCATAAAATCTGCAGAGGGCAACAAAGGGAGAAAACCACTGTAACACTAAATAACACCCAGTCCTATTCTGGGAGTCAACAATAATTAGAGTGTCAAAGCTCAGGAGTTTGGTGGGGGGAAGGAATATTATAGCCAAGACCTGCTCTTGGTGTACTGGAAGGGGATTGACATCTATGAAAGCACCAGACAGGATTCTTTTAGCCTCTAACCTGATTGGGTTTTGCAGGATGTGCCTCCCTCTCTCTTACCCAGCACTTACGTGGCACGTGGCTCTGTGAAAACATCTGTGTGGATGTGCATCATGAGGTCTCCACCTGCTGTGTACTCCATAACAAAACAGACATGCTGTGGTGTCTGGAAACAGGCAAAAAGGTTCACTAGGAAGGGGTGCTTTGCATGGGTCACAATTTCGAAGATCCGTTTCTCACACATCAGGCTAACAAGAAAGGAAAAGCTATATTAAAGTAGGTTACAACCATAGTGTAACTGGTACTTGTTAACGATAAGAGTTCATCAGCTATCATTACTGCCCACATATACAGTTACTTAGTCTTGGTGTATGAAAACACATAGAGGTGGCTGCACCAGCATAGAATCATAAAATAAGAGAGGTGGAAGATACCACATGGTCCATGTAGTCCAACCCCCAGCCATGCAGGAAAAGCACAATCGAAGTAACTCCAATAGATGGCCATCCAGCCTCTGTTTAAAAGCCTCCAAAGGAGGAGCTTCCACTATACTCTGAGGCAGAGAGTTCCACTGTTGAACAGCTTTTACAGTCAGGAAGTTCTTCCTAATGTTCAGGTGGAATCGCCTTTCCTGTAATTTGAATCCACTGCTCCTAGTCTCTTTATAAATATGTATGTAAAGTTGTCTTACTGAAATGATGCAGTTCTGGAGGCAGACATTTACCATGTCAGACAATGTTCTTCATCCACAACCCAATAAAACAAACCTTGCTGCAAGTGTGTGCATCTAGTGACCAATTTATCATGCAATTAATTATGCTTCTACCCTTGTACTCGTATGTAGTTATAGGTTTGGTAGCTGTGATGACCTAAAAGGTATCAGTGCAAGAGGTAGATCTACTTATAGAATAAATCCAGCCTTTCTCTTTATGAGGCTGAGCAATGACGTTGTATGGGAATTGGGAAGTGAAGTAAACAAATGAAAGGCTAGAAGGAAAAGCAAAATGATTTTCCACCCTTCTGTACAAAATGCCAGCTTTCTTTCTTGCAATCAAAACCTATCTCTGAGCACCTCATTCTTTCTGCAACAAAACATGGGCAAAGCACAGTATGGTTGGGCCCTATACCAAATTAGTACAAATGTGGCAACAGAATTAAAAAAAAAACAGGTCTACAGCATCCCCTTCCCTCCACTCCAATCACAATAGTAATATGACTTTTTCTGTCACTAGCACAGACTCACCTCTCCACCTCATCCCTTGCAATGATGTCTCCCTTCTTCAAGGCTTTAATAGCAAATAGATTCCCTGTTCGATGTAACTCAGATAATAGCACCTAGATCCAAACAAAAGCATCACCAAGACAATAGTTACTAAATATAGTAACTATTACCATCACTAGAGATAACAACCAAAAAGAAAATATCCATACAGGCTAGAAGTAAGCAGCCAAAGCCCTCAAGTCCTCAACCCATGCCCATCTCACCCCCTACACACATTCTGCTCTGCAATACATGGTAGATGGCTTTTGATTAGTCAAGATGGGGAGAAAGATATGCTGCTTAATGGCAGATAGAGACTGGAAATTTTGAAGGAAAGGAAACGACAAGAACCTCACATAGTTAGGCAATATTCACCTTGCCAAAGTGTCCACGGCCCAGCACAGCTACAAAACGGAAATCATCTATAGTGAGAGGTGTTTTTCTCAGGTGGCTGTTGCAAGATGAAAGAGCAAGTCAGATTTATTATCTTCTCCCGCTCCCCTGAAGTACTGGGAAGTGGGAATCATCAAGAAATTATCATCACCATTATCTCTGTCCCATATGCAACTAATCCAGCAGGAGAATAGGCTTCTAAAACTAATTCTTCTGATAAATATGGGAACTGGCTGAAAAACTACTGCTCTTGTAAAGAAACTGAAAAGAATAAGAATCCTCCAGGACACTGCAAGGATCAAAGGACTTGTTTGAGCTGAGTGCCACCTTGTATCCAATCCCATGGGAAAAGCAGAGTATAAATTCAACCAGCCAATCAATCAATACATATATAACTGGTACATAGCCACTATCATTTGCCCCACTCAGTCTCACCGGGAAGTGAAGGGTATGGATTGATTTCCTACAAAAGGATCTAAAGTGCTAGACATTCAGTTTGGAGAGATAATTATTCTACATTTCAGGTACAGAAAAAGAACCCCAAGGCCTGGAGTGTCATCTGATGACAGGAAACACATCAAGGCACACCAAGCTCATTAGCCCTGCTCAGGAGGTAGGATCAGATTATAGCAAGAAAATGTGGCTGAGACCGAATTATAAAACAAGAGAAGAGGAGAGAGATGTTTGACCCTTGGTCCCTTACCTGGGAAAAATACCCTCAGATCCTTTGGCCTCACATCCTGGGCCCAGCTCCAATTGGAAGGGGATCTCCTCTCCAGTTTGTAGGCCCTAAAGAAGCAAACGAAGCACAGACACTTAAAGAGAGCCTTAAGGCAACTATCTGCTGTTTATGGCACAGGAGACAAGAATCGGCTCCTGTAAGACCTGGTCAAAAAAAGGGAAGCAAACGTACCAACAAGACCTTCCCAGGCAGTTCACTGTCATCCTGGCCCATCTGTTCAACTCTGTCACCTTCTAAGTTCAGCTTCTCAATGGCAACGTCCCTAGAGAGGGTGAAAATGTCAGTCTAGAGAATATCCTGGCAAAATCATGGCTGCTGCAGCTTATTCAGAAGGTGGGGAAAACTTCACCTAGGTTTTTGTCTCCAAGACATGCTGGCCCCCTTGCATCTCATAAGCAGACAGTTATTTGACTGATTAAGGTACAAACTAAGGCTTCAAAAAGATATCCTGGACAAAGGGAAGTGCTTGCTCATGAAAAGAGCTATGGTTGCTTTGCAAATGGGATCCTGGAAGAAAACTGTACAGGGATGTAGAGCCTGCATAGTTATGAAAGAAATATAAAGCAGAGAAACTTGCATAATACTTAGCTGCCATAAAAAACATAGAGATATACATATTCACATTGACAGGTGATGGTAAGTTGGAGATCACTTCTGTTTGATGCCTATAACTTCACTGGTTTGGGTGGGTCTTATTATAATCAAAACACAGGGTATCTCAACACGATCATCTCAAATATATTGCCAGACTTACATATATTCACCTCATTTTTGCAACAAAAAGGAAATAAAATTTGCCATTTGGTTTGTCTTCCTGTGAAAAATATGGTTTTTATAGCACAGCAAGCTACATTTCTAGCCAGTATAGTGGCCTACCCAGAATTGAGGCTGTGTCTTCTTTCTGAGCTAGCTGCCGGGTTCATCTGTGTCGAGGGGCTATAAGTCCCTGTGGTGCTGGCGGTGGGGATAATGCGCCGCAGGAGTCGCACCCATGTGGCTATATCAATGTTCATCTGGCGGGCACGCAGGAAAGCCTTGCCTTGGAAGGAGAGAAAGAGGCAGAGTCACTTGAAATAGTGCAAGCACTACTGTAAATACTGGAAGCCTATCTAATCCAGCCTCCTGGTTCCACACTGGTGCTTCCGATGGCTCTGGAAAGCTCCCAAGCAGGGCAATTGCATTCTGCTGCTCACATTTGGACTTATGTCACCTCTGATCCTCAAGGTGTTACAATAACCATTATGTCTAACACCCTAATCCTCCACATTTTGCTGTAATATCTTTTTCAGACCACTTAACTCATAGAAAGTTTGATTTGTTTCAACCTTTGTTACGATTCAAACCTGATTTTAAAACATGCCTTGAGAGGAAGAATATTTTGCACAGACTGTCACTAGGCTCTTTTGCTTTCAAAGTGACAGAACAATATAATTAATAATAATACACTATTTATATTCTGCTCTGTCTCCCTGAGGGGACTCTGAGCAGATTATAGAATACATATATGGCAAATATTCAATGCCATTATACAATTAACATCAAAGACATACAGTACATAGACAGAGAGGTAAAGGCTTCCCCCTTTTCATCTCCAGCGTTTTTGGAGGCTGTGCTCAACTCCAGCCATGGGGAGGTCCTCTTGTCCATTTTACGTGCCAAGAAGCCCGTTGTCTGTGGACGCCTTCCTGATCGTAATGCCAGCATGTTTGCACGGGTGCATTTTACCTCCCCGCCAAAGCGGTACCTACTGACTTACTCACATTTTGTTTTTGAACTGCTAGGTAGGTAGAAGCTAGGGCTAACAGCAGGAGCTCATCTCGACTTTAGGCTTTGAACCGCCAACCTTCTGGTTGGCAAGTTTTTCTGCAGCTGGCAGTTTAACCTGCTGTGCTACCCGCAGTCCCAATAAGCCAGAATCTATATTCAACCTTAACAGTATGCCATACAGCTTTCACAGCAAAACAACAGCTCAACAAAAATGGCATTGCCATCTCTTTGTCACTAAATGTGACACTAGAATATGCATTACAACACATTTCCACAGTGATCTCTCTCTGTCTAAAGGTGCCCTGTTGGCAGACATGTGTGATGCAATCAAAACCTTCACAATGTGTGTTAAGAGAACATCTCTGCAGTCCAAGCACAGTTGGATGGTTATAGTTCTGTTATTCAGAGAGTGTCCCATTTCTTACCTTGTTGCTTAGAGAAGATCTTTTTCTGTCGCTGAAGCTTGGGTATGCGCTCAATGACAGGGTTAAAAAAAGTAACCTGCAGCAAAGGAAAATAAGGAAAGTTCAGCCAGGACAGACTGCACACTGGACAGCCACTCCAGCCCCAACACTAGCAGAGTACAAAAGGGGCCCGAAGATCAAGGCTAACAGACAGGTTGATTGCTACCTAAAAATTACATCAGCTGAGGTAGAAGAAATTTTCCTCTACTGTGAGGAAGTCTGGTTTTGCCATAAGATTCAGTAAGAAGGAAATATTCATTTCTTAGGCTAAGAGAATGAAGAGCTTCCACAAACTATTCTTCTGGATTTCTAAATAGTCACTTTCGGGAAATCCTGGCCCTTTCCACTAGGGATGGTGGATCTATTATTTCCAGACATTTCTGGACTCCCTAGCAATATCAGCCAGTATGATTGGAAGTATAGCTCAACAACATCTTCAGGGATACAGATTTCACATCCTTTCTCTGTACTAAAGAATAAGAGAACCTAATAAAGAAAAGTTGACTTAGACATTGCTATCATGACCCAAGAGAGGCAGCATGGTGTTGTGGTTTGAGCACTGGACAATGACTCTGAAGATCAGGGTTCAAAAGCCTGTTTGATCATGGAAGCTCATTGGATGACTTTGGGCATTCTCTTGGTCTCAGGGGAAGGCAAAAGTGAACCCTCGGTGAACAAAACTTATTTTAAAAAACCATGAAAAGTTTCCTTTAAGGTCACCATTAAATTGGAAACAAAGGCATACCACAATGACATCAATTACAATCATGATTTTGTATAGATTCATTTTATAAATTCACACATAACATACAAAATGATAAAAACTTAACATGAAAATAATAAACACAGTGATGAAACTATCTGAAGAAATGGTATCAGAAGGCACCGCTGAAGCTTAAAAGCAAGGGTGGCAATCCTCTCACTAATCTCTGTGTTCATAAGCCAACCACTTTAGCACTTTAGGAGGTTAGAGGTTGTTGTTCCATCCAGTTTAGAAACATACATAAAATAGAAGCTGGGATATTTTGACTTCACTTTCTCAACTGTCTCCCTGGGTAGCATACCAAAGCCTAAGTTAAATATAAACAAACAAGAATTCTCATAACAATATTTCTTTGTGAAAGGAAAGCCTTTTTCAAGACTGAATCTGGCTAATGTTATTCTGGCCAGTTATAGTCCCTATCCTTAATGGTTATTACCTATTGCACCATGCAAATGAAACATGGTGATTCAGGAATATTGGTCTTTCTCAGATAACTTAAAAAGTTCACTCAGCACTATTTATAAATTGAAACCTATACTTTGTATACCCTCTTTACTTTAAATCTGGTCTCTATTGTTACTACTGTTACATTATTTGTGCCATAACAACATTGCCTTTATTATTCCCACACCGTGACATCCAACATGGCAATGTCATCCTTGGCAATGCAATCCCCGAAGCCTATTTGATATTTACCTGGATCGCTTCGAATACAGTAGTATTTTGTGCTATCCAAGAACATGAGTCAGCAAGAATAGAGCTGCATAACATTCTTCGTAGCATAAAACATTTGTTTCTTTGCCTCATACCTCCGTCAATGTGAGGTACAAATGTAATGGTAGGAAGAGTGGGATTATTGAAAACAGTTGAAAAGTTGTTTTTATGATTATACAATCAACTTAAGACTGCTCGAGTCTTTACTAAGTATTACTAAGTAGTGTGTAAAAGCCTCCCCTAGACTCTGCATAAAATACTTGGTACTGTAGCTGAAATGGTAGAACAGTGGAAGAGATTCTATGGCCTTTCCATCATAGTTGGACAACAATCCCTACCATATCTGGAAGTTGGAATTTGTCATTTCTCTCAAGACATGTTTCCATTTTATATGTCTATATGTAGAGGTAATTTTACTGTTATTTCAGACACATTATGTTAACCTTTTCCATTCTGCAAGTCTTTTCATGTTTAGCTATGAAATGTGACTATCAAATCCCTGGATATAACATTTCTAGGCATCTGATCCAAGACCTCACTAGATAACTTAAAATCCTCTTTTTGTTACCTCTGCCAAGAGAGTACCCTGTGGCTCCAACTCCAGGTGGATTTCATGGCGTTGGTTGTCAAGGAAATCCTCCAGTTTAAGGTATTTCAGGGCACAGAGACTTCGGTAATCACGCCAGTATACACCAATCTCCAGCTCTCTTGCCTGTTACAAAGGGAAATTATTAAACAAAAACGTCGACAGCAAGGAGTTACTGACTCCACATAAGACTCACAACTGCTATATAAAAGCTCAACCATTTTTGTCTGAAATTCAGACTTCTGAAAAACTCCAGAAAGACAGCAAGACCAAGTTAAGAAATATATTGCTTGATGAGTACAAATGGGAAAATATAATAACTGTTGCTGTATCATGTGTCATGCAATTGACAAATTCCTCAGTTGTGTCAGCATGTGACATCTCCTTTCCGCCTAAGCTACCATATTTCACTGCATAATAGTTACACTTTCCTCCTTTTTCTCTTTAAAATAGGGGTGCAACTATTATGTAGTGATGACTATTATGCAATGAAAAAAGCCCCTTTGAGGGGGCAGCCATGCGGGTGCTCCCTTAAAAGGGGTTTTTTCACCACATAATAGTCCCTTTTTGGGGACAGTTGCACAGGCGGCTGAAGGGTCACCCAACCACGTGGCTGCTTCTTTGCAATGGGGCATCCATGCAAGCAGGTAAAGCCTCACTCCCCGAGTTGCATCCTTGATTCACTTGTCCAGGCACAGGCACGTGAACCAAGGGTACAACTATTATGTGAGGAAAGGAAAAACATCCATTTTAGGACCCCACAAAAGGGTATATGTGTGTGTGACTATTGTGCGATGAAATACAGTAGAAGTACATGACTTAGTGGTGATTTTTGATTTATTTATTTATTTATTATTTACTTTACTTGTATACCGCAGTTTCTCAGCCCAACAGGCGACTCAACGCGGTTTACAACAAGGATAAGAATCAATCAACGATATACAATTTAAAACCATAAAAGCATAATATACAATATTGACACAACAATAGACAACACAATGCATCTCATAACTAGAGTCGTGATCCAATCCGTCGTCCAATTTCCATTCCTGTAATCATCACATTCATTGCACTGTTTAACCGAATGCCCGTTCAAACATCCAAGTTTTTAATCTTCTTCGGAACACCATTAGCGAGGGGGCTGATCTTACCTCCATAGGAAGGGCGTTCCACAGCCGGGGGGCCACCACAGAAAAGGCCCTGTCTCTCATCCCCGCCAGCCGCACCTGTGAAGCAGGCGGGATAGAGAGCAGGGCCTCCCCAGAAGATCTTAGGGTCCTGGCGGGCTGATAGGCAGAGATACGTTCAGATAGGTAACTTGGGCCAGAACCGTTTAGGGCTTTATAGGCCAACGCCAGCACTTTGAATTGAGCCCGGTAGCAAATCGGCAGCCAGTGGAGCTGGTGCAGCAGAGGAGTTGTATGCTCCCTGCGCTCCGCTCCTGTTAGTATCATGGCTGCCGAGCGTTGGACTAGCTGGAGCTTCCGAGCCGTCTTCAAAGGCAACCCCACGTAGAGAGCGTTGCAGTAGTCTAGACGGGATGTAACCAGAGCGTGGACTACCGTGGCCAAGTCAGACTTCCCAAGGTACGGGCGCAGTTGGCGCACAAGTTTTAACTGTGCAAATGCTCCCCTGGTCACCGCCGAAACCTGAGGTTCCAGGCTCAGCGATGAGTCCAGGATCACACCCAAACTGCGAACCTGTGTCTTCAGGGGGAGTGCGACCCCATCCAACACAGGCTGTAACCCTATACCCTGTTCGGCCTTACGACTGACCAGGAGTACCTCTGTCTTGTCTGGATTCAATTTCAATTTGTTCGCCCTCATCCAGACCGTCACAGCGGCCAAGCACCGGTTCAGGACCTCGACAGCCTCCTTAGTAGCAGGTGGAAAGGAGTGACAGAGTTGGACATCATCCGCGTACAGATGACATCGCACTCCGAAACTCCGGATGATCTCTCCCAGCGGCTTCATGTATATGTTAAACAACATGGGAGACAGTATTGAACCCTGAGGAACCCCACAAGACAAAGGTTGTGGGGTTGAACAGGAGTCTCCCAGTAACACCTTCTGAGACCGACCCTCAAGGAATGAGCGGAGCCACTGTAAAACAGTACCTCCAAGACCCATCCCGCGAGGCGTCCCAGAAGGATACCGTGGTCGACGGTATCGAAGGCCGCTGAGAGGTCCAGCAGCACCAACAGGGACACACTCCCCCTGTCGAGCTCCCGGCGCAGATCATCCACTAAGGCGACCAAGGCTGTCTCGGTACCATGTCCCGGCCTAAAGCCAGACTGTGCCGGGTCTAGATAATCCGTGTCTACCAAGAATGCCTGGAGTTGTGAGGCCACCACACGTTCCAGGACTTTGCCCAAGAAGGGGAGATTGGAAACAGGCCGATAGTTGACGAATTGAGTGGGGTCCAGTGATGGTTTTTCAACAGCGGTTTTATTACAGCTTGTTTTAAGCTGGCTGGAATTTTGCCTTCCCGAAGGGAGGCATTAACCACCACCTTCACCCACTCGGCCAATCCCCCTCTGGCCTCCTTCAGAAGCCAGGATGGGCAGGGGTCTAGGATGCATGTGGTAGCCCTTATTCCTCCAAGCACCTTGTCCACATCCTCGGGTTTCACCAATTGAAATGAATCCATCAAAACTGGACAAGCAGATGCTCGTGTTACATCCTCAGAGACTGCCGTTAATATGGTATCCAGACCAGAGCGGATCAAAGCGACTTTGTCTGCAAAGAACTGAGCAAAGGCTTCACAGCGAGCTGCCGAGTCATCAGGGCGCCCATCCTGCATGGTGGGTTTTAACAGGCCTCTGACAACTCGGAACAGTTCAGCCGGACGGTTCTTTGCAGACGCAATAGTGGCCGCAAAGAAAGTCTTCTTTGCGGCTTTTATTGCCGCGGCATATGCCCTTAGAAAGGACACAAACCGTGTTCGATTTGGCTTGCTCGGATCTGAACGCCACACGCTCTCTAGTTCCCTCTTCCTTCGCTTCAACGCTGCCAGCTCCTCAGTGAACCAAGGAGCTGGTTTAGCTCGGCTACTTGAGAGGGGGCGTTCTGGAGCGATCGTGTCTATTGCCCTAGCCATCTCCCCATTCCAGAGAGCGACCAGGGCATCAACAGGATCACCAACCGAGGTGGTGGTGATGATGATGATAATAATAATAATGACAACAACAACAACAACACTTTATTTATATTACGCCCTTATCACCCCAAAGGGGACTCAGGGAGGATCACAGTACATATGCTCAGCAAACATTCAATGCCACTTTGATTAGACAATACACAAACAGACAGAACCAAAGGAGGTAGTTTGTTTCAGCTATTTTTGGTGCCATGGAAGGTTTGGCTTGAGTCCAGAGGATGCTGTTGCTCTATCCTCTATGACGAAGAGCCGTCAGGACTTCTTCTTTTTGGTCACCCAGCATTTTCAGATTTTCTTTCTTTATGGCATTGTAAAACACCTCCCCTGCTTTTTAGCAGTATGTAATTTCTCTAATTACAGCTAAAGCTGTTTTCAAATTGCTTAGGTAAACAATGAGCTAGGGTGACAGTTAGCAGCTTACACCAACCCGGGGTTTCGAACTTGCAACCTTTTGGTTGATAGATCTTGTAATTGCTGATGATTTACCAGCTGTGCTAAACCTCCGCCTCTGCTAAACCTCCACTAAACAACAGCTAATAAGAATGAATATAAACCACTACCCCCTTTGTTTTCCAATAGGCATGCAAATTGGGAAATTTTCTCCACTACAGATTGCCCTATATACTAAAATAGAAGTCTAAAATTTTGGTCAAAAAATCAAGCCAAAAGATCCAAATAGACTTAACCATGGGTCAATATAAGTATTGTACTTTTATATATAAAAACGATAAATTCTCCTTTCTGTGTAGAGCGGCACATAAAAGAAGCACCAACCCCTCTACTCACTGCCGTGGTGCTGCATCTGGCCTTTTTTGAATGCCTGAATGGTGAAATGCTGTCAGTGGTGAGGGGCAGCTGGTCCCCTAAGTTGGCTTGGTACTTCTTCCTCTCTGTGGAATGATCCTAAACTTATCCATTGGTCATATCACAATCCATAATTTTGTCCTCAAAACTTGTCCTTGACTTATAAATGAGGTTGACTTATGCATGAATATATATGGTAAGTTGTGGAGATCATAGAAGGCTAAATCTTAGCACATACCCTCTCCAGCTCCACAGTGAAAGTTTGGTTCCATGCCTGCAAGCCAATGGGTTTCCATGCTGTCTGGCCTACAACTCCATTATCCAGCTTCAGGACAGCACTCACCTCATCTGAAAACGCAAGAGGGACAATAAAGAGGAAAAATGGAGGAACAACAGAAAAAGGCCACTGTAAGACAAGGTGAGCTATTGAGAAAAAGGCAGGAAGGCACATGGCACTTGTGGAACTGGGCTGCATCCCAGTGCCTGTCTTCTTCTCAGTGTTATTTTCCCCACTGCCCTGCAAGGCTACTCACTGCTGATATCTTCAGATTTGATGGTAGTTCTGCCACTCACACTACCACTCCGGCTGTACAATCCTCGTCCGCTGCGGCTCATAAAAGCACTGTTGCAAGGCAGGGACACAGTAGAGCCACGGGTACGTCCTGGGACGAACTCCAAGAGACCACTGCAGCCTAACAGTTGCACTTCCAGTGTCCCTGCCAACAAGAAAGAGCAAAACAAAGGCCCAATTAGCCATACTCTGGACCATTCAAAACAGGGAAGCCTTTGCATGCAATTTTGAAACCTGCAAGGCAGTCTTTGGCTGGAGAGCTGGAGCTCTGTCCCCCTACTTCATCATAGCCCAAATGAAGTAGGGAGATTGGGATGGAGTGAGTGGTTAAACAGAAAGTAAGGCTGCTCATAGTGAGCCAATGTTGGCACAAAATGTGCACTAAATCTTACAATGGAGCAGCATCCCAAACTCATCCAAGCCCAGTGTATGGGGAATGAAGTTACCTGTGAGTGGCGATGGCTTGGAGAGGGTATTGTACTGGTTATGTTGGTAAGAAGCATTATTGCGTACACTGAAGGTAGGCGAAGACTCCAGGATGAGCTCCTCCTTGATGATACAGCCCTTGGGGTGATCCTGGGGCAACTCAGACAGACGCTGTTCTAACGAATGTCTCAAAAGATCCAACTTCTGGCTCGATTCATTGAGTTTCGTCTGTGCCTATAATCAGAGGCCCAGGTGGTCAGCAGCCAACAACTGTATCACTAATATACTTTTCACTTAATTTCCATTCCCCCTCCTCCAGTAATCAACCTTGCACAAATACTGCCGTCTTCCTGTGATAGTAACAACAACAACAACAACAACACAACTCTCTGTCTCTTAGACCTACATTCACTTCAGGAGAGCTCTAAATTGATTTTCATGCAACTGTACTGTCAATGATACCAGGCCACATTTCAACTGTGGAGCTTGTCACATCAACATCCAACTACAAATATTTTCATATTTTTCACGATCATCTATATCTAGAACTGGGTGATATAGTCTCGTAAATGTTGTAATAGCAAAAAGTCAACATTTTGTTCGTTTGTTTTATTAAAATGTTTATATCCTGCCCTATATTTGAAGATCCCAGGGCAACTTACAATAAAATCAATCTAAAACAACAAATAACAATAATTTAAAAAATTACAAATTTAGTAAAGAGAATATGAATTACCAGAAAATGTAAAACTGGCTAAAACAATTTAAAATGACTGATCTTTTCCATTTCTTTCAAGTCCTCCCAAACTCAGATTATGAATGCATTCTCAAGATAAATGCTTTATGACAAAAGATTGATAACAATTCTTGTATATTGAAGGGACTACTTGTTTTCTGGAGATGAGTATTATTACTGATATAGGAAGTAATGTAATCATGTGGTGAGTATTAGGGGGAGGTAAGGAACACATAACCATCATGACTAATACTCTTACTCTCCACATATCGCTGTTAATTGTTAACTTTTTCCAAATAATTATTTCCCTCTGTATCTTTCCTCTGTAGCCCCAACTGAGGGAAATATTCATTACCTCAGAGATGGCATGGCGGTCCTGAACTTTGCTGGAGCCCAGAAGGCGCAGTACATTCTTGGCGCCCTCAGAGACTGCATGCTCCACTCGGAAGTGATGGCGCAGCTCCTCAATCCTCAGCTCTATGGCACTTAGATCAGCATTGCCTGTAAGTGATATCAAACATTCATCCCTGCACTTAGAAGAACAGCTGCATGGCTGAGTTGTATGGGGAAGTCAAAACAATTCAGGATCAAGAAAATGGGTTTTCATCACCAGGCAGAGGATGTGGATGACTTTACAAATACCTCTAAGACAGTGTTTCTCAACCTTCCTAATGCTGCGATCCCTAAATACAGTTCCTCCTGTTATGGTGACCCCAACCATAACATTATTTTGGTTGCCACTTCATAACTATAATTTGGTACTGTTATGAATTGTAATGTAAAAACCTGATGTATTTTCATTCACTGGACCAAATTTGGTACAAATACCTGATATGCCCAAGTTTGAATACTGGTGGGGTTGGAGTGTGTGTGTGATTTTGTCATTTGGGAGTTGTAGTTGCTGGGATTTATAGTCCACTTGCAATCAACGAACATTCCAAATTCCACCAACAATGAAATTGAACCAAACTTGGTGCACAGAACTCCAATGACTAATAGAAAATACTGGAAGAGTTTGGTGAGCTTTGACCTTGAGTTTTGGAGTTTTAGTTCACCTATATCCAGAGAGCACTGTGGACTCAACACCATGACACTTTTGGACCAAGCTTGGCACAAATACTTAATATGCCCAAATATGAACACTGGTGGAGCTTGGGGAAAATAGATCTTGACATTTGGTAGTTGTAGCTGCTGGGATTTATAGTTCACGGACAATCAAAGAGCATTCTGAACCCCACCAATGATAGAATTGGGACAAACTTCCCACACAGAACCCCCATGACCAACAAAAAATACTGTGTTTTCTGATGGTCTTTGGCAACCTTTATGACATCCTCCTTGCGACCCCCCAGGGGTCCCAACACCCAGGTTGAGAAACACTGCTGTAAGAAAAGGAGATCTTTAAAGGTTAAAGGTGGGGCCACTGCAATGTACCACAAAGGCCCTACTTTTAACTTTTAAAGATCCCTTTGTCTGTGCCAAAAAGGCGAACAGGGACTGGCTTCTTCCTCCTCCTCTTCACCTTGTCCATCCTCCATATTCAGCTGCACCTCGTCAGCCTGCATAGCTTTGCGGATCTGCATGCGGATTATATTGATTTTGGTCTTGCTGTCCTGTAGCATCTGCTGGGCCGTCTGTAGCAGCTTCCGATCCTAGAGAGCAGACCAGGTGGGGTAGGATTAGTAGGATCAGCAGAAAAGAATCAGCCATTTCCCCATCCCCAGATCTGAGGGAAGAATCGGCCCATCTGCCTCCCAATGTGTTTCTCTGTAATTTGACAAAAGCTGCACCCTGTTCTCTTCAAAGCTTGGGGGGGGGGGGGACGACCCACACCCTACTTTTCTGAGTTGAAAGCACACCTTATTATTTGGGAGATCAGCGGGATATAGAGTTTAGTTAAAAGGATAACTTGATTCTTCAAGCAAAATTACATTTTTAAAAAGGCACCTATCTGACAGGAGTTCTGAAATCCTGAAGTATTTCAGTTCAGTTTCATATCAGTAACGATAACAAAAAAGTAAAATGATAAAAAAGCATCTCTCAAAGTTCACAAACACAGAAATGCCTTTCTGCAATCACTTCAGACCCCATTTGATTTCTTAGCCCCAAGGAAGAGTTCACAAGAAATGGATAACTACCGTATTTTCTGGCATATAAGATGACTGGGAGTATATTGTATTTTGTAAGTTATTAAATATTCAATCTGTCTGCCATTCCTGCTTTTTTAGAAGCAAAGGGCTACTAAAGCAAGCCACCAAGTCATTGGTGCTAGCAATTCCAGTAGGAGGATGGGGCAAGACCATGAAGAGCTGCTACCCATCACAACACACAGACACTCAGAGAGATGGACCAATATTGTGATTTAGCTTCAGGAATGTTTGTATGCATGCCCACTCATGGCTGAAGAGTTAACAAGCTATAGTACAAATTTCAGAGGGCCCATCTTGAGAAGATGAAGGGATGAGCCAGGACTGCATAGTATATGGGGAAGGACAAATGTAACACACACACCTTGGCAGTGCCATTAGCATACATCTGGATCATGTTCTCAGCTCCCTGCTTCACCTTCACCTCAATATTTAGCTGCTTTTCCAGACCAGCTATGCGGTTTTGGGTAGCTGTTGTCCGGCTCAGGCTGCCTGGTGACTGTGGAGGATCTGGGAAAAATAGTCAACAGTAAAGAGGTCAATAACAGGATAGAAATATTAAAACAGCATCAATCTCTGCTTAACAAGTAAGGAATGGGTGTCTTTAGACTTTTCTAACAAATAGTGTTGGTGCACTGAGCTTTGTAAGTTAAAAAGAGGTTAAACTACATTGATTCTAACAATAGATGCACCCTAGAAATCTAGACCATCATCACTTGCTTATACTGGGTGTATGCATGGTGGTTGTGGTGGTGGAGGAGTAAAATTAAACTGCTAAGCACATTTAGAACTTCATTAGTGTTTTAAAGTAGGTGCTCCCACTTTGAATCGTGTGGCTGCCTCCTACAGGATTCTGCGTCTTGTAGTTTAGGGAAGCAGAGGACCTTTGGCTGAGAATTGCAAAGGTCCTGCATGAAATGTCAAGCCCCAGAATTGTGTAGGAGGCAACCACATGATTGAAAGCACAAGCCAGCACTTTAAAATAATGTGATATCGCTCTTAAAGCCATTGTTTTCTCACGTTAGAGGCCCTCCAGCTGTTTGAGCCTCCAGTTCCCAGAAGCCCTATCCAGCTTGTCTAATGGCCAGGAATTCTGGGAGCTGAAGTCCAAAACACCTGGAGGCCACAAGTTTGAAATCACTTTACTGGCTTCTGATGGATGACCAAATGCCACACTTCAAGGCACGGCACAGCTTGGTATTCAACAGCTAAAGGGCCATCTGCTCCCAAATGAACTTCAGCAAACTTAACATTACAGTCAAAAGCTCATCTCCAATGCCACAGGCTGCTCACATGGTGTCCAATTTAATAAACTGTTTTTTTATTTTAGTGTGCTTTGACTTTCAGTGTGGTGCTGCTGTTTTCTTCTTCTTTTTATCATGTCAGAAGTAATTTTAGAAACTACGAGTCACTTATGGTGTGAGAGAACTGGCTGTCTTCAGAGATGTTGTCCAGGGGAAGCCCAGATGTTTTACCATCCTGTGGAAGGTTTCTCTCATTTCCCTGTATGGGAAGCTGGAGCTGACAGACAGGAGCTCACCCTGTGTCACAGATTCAAACCCCTGACCTTCAGTCAGCAGTTTAGCCCACACAAGGATTTAACCTATTGTGCCACTGCGGCTCCAATTTTTTTTACTGCTAATATCTCTTGTATAGATATGCCTGCTATTTATGAATACACACACACACACACACACAGAGAGAGAGAGTGCATTATGGGTATGGATATATTATGGATATAGTTAAAGATGTTTCAAATTCTATTGTCATTTTGAGTCATATAAACTCCTTGGAAACCTTTTGAACTGTGAAGACAGGGTGTTCTGCTTTAAGCAAATAATATATAAACCAATATAACACTTTTAACCACACACAGAAAACCTCGAAAACAATTCTGTCATAGACCAGCTGTATGTCATTATAACATAGAAGCCGGTTTAGTAATTGTAAAGAAATTACCACAAGATTTCTATGAAACCAAAGGAGAGTTTGTACCTCTCTATGACCAACCAGAATGCAGTATTTTCCTTTAATGTGAAAGGTTAAACAAAGGGTGATTGTCAGGCCCAACAAGAGGGTTCTCTTGTTATCGTCTCTATCCAACAGCACTGTCAATGGAAACCAGCTGAGTTCTGTTAACTGGCATTTGCATCTTTCTGGATGCAAAAACCACCTACTTCCACAACCTTGATCGAGTGTGACCTATGACAGAGGCATATTCCATTCAGCTGAGTAAATAACATCCTCTCTGCTCCTTGGAATGCTATTTTTAGGACTGATGACTACTGCTGAAAGATAGGCACAGACTACAGGCTTATAATGAGAAAGAGGCAATGCTAAAACTCTGTCTCTTTAAATTCTGGACAATAGATTAGATTGGGTGGAATGACAATGGTAAGGTCATAACACTCTCCATTAGTGTTCTCCTTAATTTTTTTACCCAGAGACAAAGATTCATCTATATAGGATTGAGAGCCTGTTCCTGAGAACAATTGCCAGAAAGGCTTGGCATTCATTTCTGTGTAATGTAGTATAAAGCAAGCCAGCTGGAATGAACTCTTAAAGAAAAGGAGCAGCTCAGATCTTTTAAGCCAATACACCACTAAGTAGATCCTCGATTTCCAAAATGCTTGCTTAGAAAGAGTACTTGCAATATCATCAACAATGAAAACGCCACAGTCGCTGAGTTCAATAGTGATAGGCTCAGATATGTGCCCATCCCAAACTCTTATCAGTGATGGCCAGGCTGGATGGTTTTATGTTATCTACAAAAGACAACACTGAAAAGTAGAATGAATCATTTCTTGCCTCTGCTTGAGCTTGGATATGAATCTACTTCTTAATTTTTTTTCTAGTGGAGAGGAAATAGCCACACCCGTGACCCACACTTTTTCTCGTCTGTTTACTGCACAGGCTTTCTCTCCTCCCCCTTCTAGTGCCTTGTACTTTAATATGGAGGCAAGGCAGAAAAGCCTCCACTTCCTCCTTTTTCAGATACATAGGCTGCTCCTCTCTGCATATGACACAGAAAGGTTATGACACATATTACTTGTTCTGCTCCCTATTGAGCAGAACAAGTATGCGTGCATTGGAAAGTAGTGCTTGAAGCTCAAAGGATGAACCCAAGGTGCAGAGCCAGGAGGTGAAGCCAGGAAGGAGGGAGAGAAAAGGGCAGATCTGTTTGTATTCCATAGGATTCATTGTGGCTTTGTCTTTGCTTGATAAAGTAGGTGGACGGAGGCCTGATTTTCCTGCTACTGCTTGTCCTGCTGGTTAAACATCCACCAGAGTCGGCCAGATGCCAAAGTCTCTCCTCTTCCAGTACCTATGTCCACAATGAGAGACTGGCTGAGAAACACTCATAAGGAAATAGGGACTGGAAAGAGAAAGGGAGGAGCACAAAAGCAAACTCTGCAGTTCTTCCCAAGTATAAGGTTTCAACTAACATACGAAGGTCTCAAGAGATTAGGGTGTGTGGCTGTTTAAACAGCATTTAAACAAACAATGTCTGGCAGCAAAATAGAGCTTTCTCACACACCTCTCAGCTATGTCTATGTTGGCATGAACTGTTAGCAACTCTAGGTATCCAAGTTTGGAAAGGGCTGTATGATTTTGGTACTCCAATGCCACAGCTGAAGCTAACTGGTACTAAGTAGATTACTAGAATGAAACATTTCCAATGTATGTGTCTCCCACAAAAAACGTTAAGTACAGTGCAGCTTGTAAGTGGCATGGGGAAGAACTGGAAGGATTACAATTTTATGTTAGTAAATAAGTGGCTAGCAATCTTAGTCAAGAAAATTATAAAAATTAAAATAAAAGAATTGGCACATTCAAATGATTCCTGCATAATGAAAGGAGAAATTATAGATCAGTAAATGGTAGTGATTAAGTTGTTATGGAAAGATGATTTTCTGATCAGAATTAGCACCACAGCAACTGTCTGTCCCTCTAGGGTGGCGGATCTATTAAGATTGCCCACCCTCAAAGGCTAAGGAATCGTTCAGGATTCCAGAATGTTTTATTTATATTTATTTATTTATTTATTTATTTATTTACTATATTTATATCCCGTCTTTCTCTACTCTGAAGGGGACTCAAGGCGGCTTACACATAGGAAATAATTCAATACCTTAACATACATACAATTAAAATAAACATTTAAATTGCAATTAAAATCAAGATTAAAATACATTAAAACATTTTAAAACACTACAATCACTATAAAACCACGCTATCCACAATAATAATCCAGGTCATTCTGGTAGTCATTGCACATAATTCCAGTCTATCTATTGCACTATGGTTCTTCTCTGAAGCCTTGATTCCACATTTTCACTCTCTTTCTGAACGTCAGGAGTGAGGGGGCTGATCTAACATCGCTGGGGAGGGAGTTCCAGAACCAAGAGGGCACCACTGAGAAGGCCCTGCCTCTCGTTCCCACCAGTTACACCTGAGAAGGAGGTGGGACCAAGAGGAGGTCTCCCCAGACGATCTTAATCTCTGAGATGATTTTATACCTGGTACCACTGACAATCCTGTTGAAACCTGGTCAATATATGGAGTCAAATCTGGCTATGGTTATTGACACAACTGCTTTCAGACGTCCTCTCTGACCCATCACGAGTCTAGCTCTATGGTACACAGTTGGAATAGGAAGGACAACGGGTGAAGCTCAGACATGGAATAACTCAATGTATATCCAACAAGACACAAATAATGGCCCTTCCGAACAGATACAATATCCCAGGATCAGATTCCAGATTATCTGGCAATGTGGACTCATATAATCCAGTTTAAAGCAGAAAACCTGGGGTCAGATCCTGGGATATAGGGCCTGTCTGGAAGGGCCCATAGATTTTTTTTGTTCCTTTAAGGTAGAAATACACAAGTCTTCTCTGTACACATTGCATCTGTGCCTTCCTATCCAGCTGAACTATTCAGGGTGGTGGGGGATCTATCTCAGGCACTCCTCCCTGAATCCAGTCTCAGAGCCTTCTGCAGTTCACTATGACGTTTTTAACAATTGTTTCAAACATAAAATCTCTTGAATAAGAGCCAAATTAGACACTCTCATTATAGCAAAACCTGTCCAGCAACTCTGTGAGTAGGATTACATTGGATCAGGATCAGTTGGTAAGTACCACAGATGTGGACAAACTGCTAGGACAACTAAAGATGACACCCTGTCATTTCAATTAGTGTATTCCAACAGAAATTGGTTGTGTCTGAAAACAGTCCTTTATAGCAGTTAACTCACTAAAAACATGTACCTAGGGACATGTATTCCAAGTAGCACCCTTATTAGTGCAGGGCTATTTTAAACAATAAATGCATTTACAAGTTTAGAAAAGAAACAGCTCACAACAAGGCTGTCTTTATACCCAAAACAGATTGTCTTTCTATATACTACAAAAGCCCTCTGTAAGGCAGACAGATGTCACCAATCTATTTCATATAGGTGACTTCCTTCATTTATTTGTGTGCACATTTGCTGAACAAACAATTTTCTTCTGAGTGCCTGCTACCAAACAGTCCAAACTTAATGGGTTGTTGTAGGTTTTTCGGGTTGTATGGCCAAGTTCTAGAACATCGCCATAGAGCCTGAAAAACCTACAACAACCCAGTGATTCCGGCCATGAAAGCCTTCAATAATACATAGTCCAAACTTAGTTAATAAGCTGCCTGAGTCTCCAAAGGGAGATGGGACGGGGTATAAAGAAAGTTGACTTGACTTGACTACCAGTAAAGTCTTGTACAAAGCTTTTTTATCTTTCACTAAAGAGATCACACTCAAACCGATCTCAAAGATCTTTTCTCTACTGCCCAAATTCCTTCAGCTAGAATCATCATTATGCCATAGTTTATAAACCAACAACAGTGGACAATTAATATGTGCACTTTGCCTCCACTTCCTGCTTAACCTTTCCATGAGTCTTTGCTTGCTATTTGATACCCAATTTTACTTAATCACTGACACCATTGCACCCCTCTGCCATTACACAGACTCACCCGCTAGCTCTTCAGGGTCTTTGACAACAATATGTGCGTTGAGATCCTGCAGTTGGTGATGCAGTGTTTCCAGCTTGCGGTTGGAGCTCTTGAGCAAATTCTCCACATTGGAGAGGTTCTTACGGTCCGTGGTAGCTTTGCGCAAGTTCTCTGCTCCCTCCTTTATCTTCAGTTCTTTGCGGATCTCACGCTTGATTTTATCCTTTTCTTCATCCAACTTCTGCTGTACACTGATGTCTGAGAAATCTGAGCTCTGGTCCAAACCCAACTGCTCCAGCACTGACCAGTTCCCTGGATCACTCTACAAATGAAACATGATAAAAAGGTGATTATAGATGAGAGCAGAAATACACCATAATTATGATTTACCACCATTTTATATTTCAGATATAACATTGCTATCATTTGAAAATAAAAACAAAATCTTCCAATCTTGCACCTCTAAAAGGAACAAAGGGATAGAATAAGTATACAAACCTAAAGTTTATACATTTAACTCTGAACGATATGTAATTTAGCATTATATCCAAATGATGCATCGTGTCAAAATAAGATTTTCTATGCAATAAAAAATCAAAGGGGGAAAACTATGAACATATGCCAAAACATATGCCATCCAATAGACACCATCTTCTCATCCACAGAAAACCATATTTAATAATCTAGAGCTGATGTGGTCTATCCAATGCAATTTTCTAAACCAGCATCCCAAATAACCCCAGGAACAGGCCTAAAAACAAAGACGCCAAGGTGCTCCCACTTCCAGGTGGGGAGGGAGGAGGAGAAGTAGCAGTCAGGAGACGTGTTATCGTACCTTTCATTGGGTAGTCAGCCTCTCCCCTCCCAACATCTCCGTTGCCTCGGCACTATAACAGGGTTTTGCAAGACCAGTCACTCTCATTGCAACAGTGTAGTAACGGTGAGGTTGCAGACCATATTTTAGTTCTTGGACCACTGGTGGTCCATAGACCACAGGTTGGGAATGAATGAATTGGAATAAGCATCATAAATACTAGAGGCGGGGTGAATACTGATGTTGCTGTTATTTTAAAGATTTGTGGGGGGTTTTTTCACAATAAAAAAGCCTCATGGAAATACTTCCTAGACCTATGAACAGTTAACAATCATAAGCACTAAAGTCCAGGAAATGATCATCAAACTAATACAGGTGACCTCCAATTCTGTTTTATACCCACAGTTGTGCTATTGGTTCATGTCTCAGATAATGAATGTTTTGGACTATCACTGAAATAGCATAAGAAAAACCATTTAGCATAGCTACTATCCATTGTTGTTTCTGGGGGTTGTGCACGCCTGTAGCCATTCACATGAACATAATATAAAAAACCAGGAACAGACGGTAATAGAGCTGTTTCAAGCTATAGAAACAAACTACATTCAAATTCTAACAAAAATATGCTAACAAATATAGAAAACAAAACAATGGCCTACAAACAGGGAACATTCATCCTCAAGGAATGTAGTAACTACTGGGCAATACCCTTTGCAAACAAATGTTCAAGAATAAAACAAAGACTTTTAACCTATTTGTCATTAGAAATGCCAGGTGTCCAAGCTGCATTCAGAAAAGAAAGAGGCACTAGAGATGTTACTGCAAAAATAGACTCACTAATACACCAAACAATCTCCAAATGACTGTGTAGATCATGAAAACTTGTGGACCACTCTTTAAAAAGAGGCAATGCAACAGCATCTGATGGTCCTTATGATGAACCTGTGCTTTCTCACTATCAAGAGAGGGGAAAAAAACAGAGAAACAACGTCTTTCAATTGGCAGGGGGATCAAACTAAAACTGCATTTTAGCATACTGTCTATTTTATTTATATGTAGAATATATTTGAAAAGTGGAACTACCAGAGGAAGGAAGTGTGAAAATTGGAAGACCATCACCCAGAATTTAAGATATGTAGATTATAACATATTGCTAGCTGAAAATGGCAAAGACTTGGGCCCCTTCCACATAGCTGAATAAAATCCCACATTATCTGCTTTTAACTAGAACTAAGATAACACAGTTCAAAGCAGACATTGTGGGATTTTCCGCCTTGATATTCTGGGATATAGGACTGTGTATAGAGGGCTGTGTGGAAGGACCCTTGGGATGACTAATGATGAAAGTTAAGGATGAAAGTGTAAAAGCAGATTTGCAGCTGAATATTAAGAGAAAACATTAAAAGAATGGCCAAAGATTATTTAAATAACTTTGAAGTGGGTCATGAAAACACTGAAAGTGTGTTAAGTATTTTTAATACCTTGGCTCAATCATTAATTGGAATGGAAACTGTAGTCAAGCAATCACACGAAGACTAGAACTTAGAATAGCAGTTATGACAGAATCTGACTAAAACCTCAGATGCAAAGATATATTATTTAACACCAAAATCAGGATAATCCATGCAATATAGTTTCTGATTTCTGTGTTTGGATGTGAAGGAAGGTCAGTGGAATAAGCTGGCAAAAAGATCTGTTCATCTGAAATATGATGTTGTATCTAAGGGGTACCTACTTGCACAGAGTGTTTCTGAATCCTTCTTTCTTACCCCAAACCAAGCATGGCGCCAACATTTTGGACAAATGGGGAGTTCTCTTTGTGCCTAGGCCACAAAGTTACCAAGCATCCCACAACCTCTCTCCCTCCCCCTGCCACCCTTAGGGAACTGGATAATTCCTCCCACACCCATCCCCACTTCCACATCTTCTGCACAGGAAGGATGGCTGAGCACATGTCTAATTCACCAAGAGCTGAGCCACACACTTGAGATCAAACATTTTTGCTGAGTACTTCCTATATTCATTGCAAAACGGTGAAGTGTTTAAAATTAGTGTTTTAATGACACTGTTTTAAACAGTTCCCCCCTTTGACAATTTACATAAAATATATGAATTATGTTTATTTAAAATCAGTCAGCCTGGCCCACTTGGTAGACTTAGACAAACCATTATTATCTCAGCCACCAATGTGAGTTTCGATAAAATAATATTTACCTATCTTGCACAGACATTATAAGAATAATTCATAATATTTTAAAAACAATGTCAACACTATAAGGCACTATACAAATGCTGAATACTATTTAATGCTTTTAGACTGCCAGCCATTGCATGGATATGCCTTTTGGAAAAGATGGAGTGGGCAGAGAAAGACATTAATCCAGAAATGTGTTGATATACCAGGAATGTGGGAATGAACTATCGCTGTTTAAAGAAGTCAACTTATACCGTAGTTAACATTAAGCACAGTTTGTGATGTAGTTGATTTAAACCAGGTGTAAGAGCTTTGGTTCTCCTACTCACAACCATATCAGAAAAAGACCAGGATATGTGAGCCTGAGATTTGCTGAAATTGTTTCCTGCCACAGTGGATGTGATGCTATGTCTGAATGTGGCCAAGATCTTTGGGCAATAATAGTGAGGCGGTGCTAAATTTCATTTACAGCCCAGTGTGCTTTCAATATATATAACGAAGGCCACAGCCTAAACCTATCAGATCCTTGTTGAGACTTGAGTAGGTCTTTGTCCCAAGCTGAACCCAATGCAGGGGCTTCAGTTGTAAAGTGTGTATTAATAGCAACTACGAACAGAGTTCCTGCAAGGACAAACAAAATAAGGATTTCAAAAGAGTCATTTGAAAATTATGACTGCGGCATATATACCACCATACGCTTCACAGGCGTAACTTAAGCAAGATGACAGGCCTGTGCCCTAGGGTGCTCTCTTGTTTGGGGTCTCAAATGCCTCATAGTCAGTAATGCAGTGTCTCCTTTCCCCAACTCATATGACATGACATCCCTTCCTCCACAGACACATCATCTACTGTTCACACTGCTGATGCTTCCAGCATTTACAGAGAGGCACTGTTTTTGCAGATCCAGACAGCATGTTGCCCACATATGTTCCAGAAGTGCTCCTTCTTGTGCATTACATACTGTATGGGCAACATGCAACCACTGCAGAGGCCTCTTCCATGGGCTGTGTGGTTACCCATGCTTCTGCTGAATGTCTTGCCAGCACCATGCCACTTGGTGGACTCTATTAATTAAAGGGGAGGATGGCACATAATTAAAGGGGAGAGTAGCAAATGGAGAGAAATATTAATTATGTTAGTTTATTTATATCTTGTTTCTCACCCATCCCACTACTGGAACTTAGGGAGCGTGCAACAATTAAAATAGACATACATGTAAGCACATACCAATAAAAAAATGTAAGCCTTCAAAGTCTAATTAATCCAGGACAGTCAATATGGTTGAAGTCTGCATATTGGACTGATGGTTCTAGTCCAATATTACTGGGTGACCAAGTCACACTTTCTCTGCCTAAGGCAGTGGTTCTCAACCTGTGGGTCCCCAGGTATTTTGGCCTACAACTCCCAGAAATCCTAGCCAGTTTATCAGCTGTTAGGATTTCTGGGAGTTGAAAGCCAAAACATCTGGAGACCCACAAGTTGAGAATCACTGGCCTAAGGAGAAGGCAATGGCATCTCCCTCTCTGCTGAACAAATCTCACCAAGAAAATGCCCTGATAGGTTTGCCTTAGTGTCACCATATGTCAGAAACAACTTGAAGGCACACAAAAGCAACAAATAATAAGACCATCAATGTAACAACAACAACAATCTTCATTTTTCCATGCTGAAACTGAAAAACGTGTGTGTTTATATGTGTGTGTGTAGTCCAACAAACTGTCCATTACCATTATCATTACCATGCTTATGCCTTGTAGGGAAAAACAGCTGCCTACCTTTGTTTACTGTTGCATATGCCTTGTAGTTTTTTTTCCTGATTGCTCTCTACAATGCCCAGGGGATTGTGAACAGGCATCTCCTATGTATACAGACAACTGCACATAAGGGTAAGTTGCAACATGTTGATAAGGCAAGCCAATTCTAAAACCACAAATGGAATTAAATGCAAGCATCCAGATTTCACACATATTCCTCCAAATATAATTATCCATTTAGACTAGGATTCAGGCCCACTTTACAGTCGTATTGATTTATGACATCATAAGATTGTTTCCTGCACACTGCCCCCCCCCCCCAACTGTTCAAGAGGGAGGGAGGGGCAGTTAATAGCACAGCCCTCTGCTATGAATCCCTTCCAAAAGGCAGTACCTCCAACTCATGCTCAGAATTTGTATCAGGCTCCGAGAAAGACATCCTGGCCCGTGGAGAGGCTCAGCAGCGATCGCCAGTCCCTTCTGCTCCCAACTGCGTGCCGGCTACACCCTCATTTCCTGCCTGTAGATTCAAACCGTTCTTTTGGCCTGTGTGCAAACAA